TTCCGGCTTGCTTCTGATTGTTTCTAAATTGTCCTGGGCGACTTCTACCCGATAATTCTTTTGGTCTTCTGTTAGCACCTGTGGAACGAATTTTGCAGCCACGCGACTCATCCCCAAATCTTGACTGAGAATTATCGAGACAACAGTTTTTGGAATTCCGAGGTCTTCTTCTACCTCTCGAACAGTCAAACGACGATTTTGATTGATTAAAACTCGAACTCGTTCCACATTTTCGCAAGTTTTAGCTGTTACGGGCCTGCCGGAACGGGGGTCGCTTTCAACTGATGCACGGCCACTTTTAAATCGCTTAAACCATTCTTTAATCTGTGTATTACTCATGGATTCGTCGCCATACACTTCACGAATCATGTGGATGGTTTCCGAACACGAATGGCCAAGTTTTTGGCAAAACTTAATGCACACTCTTTGATCGATGCGTTCAGTCATCGTGAAATGCGACGCGTACAAGATTCAACGTTTGCTAAACGGCGTACCGTTGTCGACTGAAGACTCGAAGGATCCGCGCTGCCTGGTAGACCGGTAGGGGCACTCAAAAAGGTCCCCCCTACTTGATGAATAGCTATTTTTAACAACAGGTTTATTTTCTGTTCCTGTACTGGTAAACTAGTGCAGTAAGCCCACTCTCAGTACTCAAGATTTCTAGTAATTCACTAAATCGCAAACAATCCAGCAGGAAAAATTAGCATCGTCTGCAGCGGGCTTTACTCTAATTTATTGCACTAGTTAACCGGTGTAGGAATAGAAAACAAGCCTAATAGCACACCCAGGTTGACCAAGGTAAAAGGTTAGAGCACAAGGTCGGATACTTTCCGGACATACCTCGTATATGAAGTAAATTATACGACATAATATAGGTCCTTAGGCTCTACGTATATAATATGAGAAACATTAGGTATATGAATAAATATTAAATATTAGAAGAGAATAAAAGGAAGAGATGAGCGAGAGAAGGAGAGAGAAGGAAATGAACAGATATAAATATACCCAAGGAAAAATGAAAAGTCAAGATGACATCAATTTGATGTCATATTGATCAAAATATGACATAAATTTGGTCAATGACATCAAATTGATATCATCTTGACTTTTCATTTTTCTTGGGTAGGAATTGTGTCATATAGTCACAATTCAAAATATTTATGTTCTAACTTATATAAATTTAAACAATGGATCTAATGTTGTAGACCCTCTCCTTCTTTTTAAGGGCTACGGTGGCCATGACGCAAAGAAAACTTTTGATGCGGGGTTTACAATGCGAGCCTCAGAATCGTAAGTCCCAGTCTACAATAAAGATTTAAGCCCTAAGCCTTAAGAAATTGACTAATCACAGTCGCGCATTCTACTCATACTTGACCGTGATTGGCCAATTTCTTAAAGCTTAGGGCTTAAATCATCTATTGTAGACTGGGACTAAAGGCCAATGTCCACGATGCTAGAACTTGGACCGAGTTCTAGCATCGTGGACACAGGCCTTCTAGTTCCGAGAAATGTGTAACCAATCAACTTGCAGCTTTTATGGAATAGCTGCAAGTTGATTGGTTACACATTTCTCGGAACTAGAAGTTGGACGCAGTTCTTGTATTGTGGACACAGGCCTTTAGAGCAGTTAATTATATTTGGTCAATTCAGTCAGATACATAAGAATTGACCAATCATAGTCGAGTCTTACGACATAGACCATTCTTACCATGGTGGAAGTATACAAGGTGAACCATTGCGCATGAAGAGAGGGGGTAGCCTTCCTTCCAGCCAATAAACGGCGTGCTTTTTTGCGTGGCGGCAGTTTGAACGGTCAAACAAATCATAATCCAACCTAATCTTAAAGAGGTTAAACAAAAAAGCACGGCTCTTAAGGCCTTTGCACGTAAAAAAGCATTAACCGTAACCGTAATTTTAGTCCATAACCTACGGACCCTACGTAATTTTAGTCCGTAACCTTAGGAATTTTACTTGGGTTGCTCCATATGTCTGTACGTGTTGAAAACTACGATTACGGACTATAATTACGGTTACGGTTAAGGCTGGTATTACATTTGTCGTACGACAAATTTTTTAAGCGTATTGATTGACTGAAGGATAGTAAAATTCTCGAGTATCTAGAAACTTTCTATTCAGCAACCAATCGACACGCTTGAAAAATTTGTCGTACGACAAATGTAATAGTACCCTAACGCTTTTTTACGTGCAAAGGCCTTTATTGGACGGATCGTCCCCACTACTTTTAGGCTACTGCGTATCCACGGGAATGGTTCACCTTGTATACTTCCATCATGAGGGTGCTTTCACATGGAGCGTAAATTGCGTAGCGTAACCTGCGTATCACCAATCACAGGATCATGCTGATAGAACCGTTTCAATAATTCCGTTGAACTAGTCCTGTGATTGACGATACGCAGGTTACGCTACGCAACTTAGGGTGCGATTACATGCGGCGTAACTTGCGTAAGCGTAACTGCGGCGTAACTTGTGCTGACCAATCACATCGTCTCATTTGAGTGTTAGCTTTTGCCTAGTTATTTTACGCTCTTTACGCTATTGTCATTACGCCGATTTCAATTTCTAGCGGAACTAGCGGATGATTGTGCAGGCTGGTGTAGTCAGGTGTAGTTATTACACACAGGACGGGAACACGGGAACGCAACACAAACGAGAAAAATGAATAAGGATCAAATAAAGGTAAGTTACAAGTAGTTTCGTATAGAATTTATTATAATTATTTATTATAATTTGTTATGAGCAAGTTATGATAGCATTCGATTATATCTGATCGACTGC